AATATCGTCTCTTAACTTCTTGTGACCTTTTCTCGTCTGCCTCAAACCATTATACTCCTCATAAGCGGGGCCTCTTCACACAGGCTTCCTCCTCCTCCTCCTCTTGGGATGCTTCTAACCTCATCTACACACACACACACACACACACACACACGCACACGCGCACGCACGCACGCACGCGCGCGCGCGCACACACACACACACACACACACACACACACACACACACACACACACACACACACACACACACACACACACACACACACACAACGCTCAACCCACCTCAACCCTAGAAACCTTTTAGATCTCTCAATAGACCATGTAACCTTCCTCCTCCTCCTCCCCTCGACAGGAAGCTGCATGTGAAACTAAGATCATTTCAAACTCCATCCCCTGAAGCATGTTTTAATCACAATAAAGCTGTTTTTTTTAAAGGGAAAAAAAAATGGTGTCAAGCTGTGCCTACAGTTGTTTTAATACTGTTTCTAATCCTCCCAGTTTCTCAGTCTGAGCAGCTCCAAGCACAGCTTTTTTATTTCTTTTAGTGATAAATACATGTTCAGATACAAACCCACGCAGCAAGGTATGATATGATAATTATATTCAGGACTCGTTTGACCACGTTAGGTATTTGCCGCCGCTTCCCTGGTTCTAGTTATGTAAGGAGCTTTGAGGTATTTTGGGGGTTCGCTACAATGCTATTTCTTTTGGGGAAACCTCCAATGAATGTTTATAACCTTTTCATAAAGCAAGTCAGTGTTATTAAACCTGTTGATCACCCTGAACACTCCTCTTTAACTCCCCCAGGTTTCTATTTCTTTCTACAAAATCCTGTGATATACTTTGCATATTTAAGCAGCTCATTCGTTTTCTCTTGTGTTTTTACTCTCATGATTATGACTCTTGTCGTTTTGTGTTCTCGTTGTTGCTTTTCGAGAAAGAGCTTCTACCAAAAGATGCATTTTTTTGTAACGGGAAAAAAACGATTCAGTATGCGCAACACACAAACGCACCTTTTTTGCAATGTTTTGTCCTTTAATTACAAGAGAACGCAAACGAAGAAGTTGAGCTAACTTCAGAGGTAGATATATTGCAAGAAAACTTTAATTGTTTTTTAGATTTGGGGCTTGCAAATGACATATACATAAATAGAAAATAGGCCATATGTTACCCTTAATGCCTCTTTGAGCAGAAAGATAATGTATACTATGTAACCCAAGTATAAATACACGGTTATTATCTGGAAAATCAAAGGCTTGAAACTCATTTTATATAAAGCATCATTAAAAATCGCCTTAATAAACATAGCTGAACAAATGTAAAATCATTCAACTGAATTTAGAACCTGATGTCAACCTGTAAATCCAAGTCTGCTTTAAGTTAAAAACAAACGATAGCTACTGTAGGGGTTAATTTATCTCATAAATCCCAGACATTTTACACTTATCGTCCCAGGAAGTAGTCTCAGACCATTTTATGAGTTATGTTACATATACAAATGTTTTTGCAACCCCTGAACTCAAATGTTTAAAGCACTTACATTTTTTTTTTCACTTTTACTTTGTCCTCTCTCCAGATTTTGTGTTCATTTCTGGGTATCTTGTGTTACTGTGTATGTAGTGGTGCCGCTCAAATGGCAGTGAAACCTGTCAGTGATGACGCATCACCTTTTTTTTCTTTATTTTATTTTCTGTTTGTAATAAAACTGAATGAAACGATAAAAAGCACTGTGTGGTTTTTTCTTTTAAATGGTGAATAAATACTGACTGAATTGACTACAGAGTAGGCTATAGGCTATTTTTTCCATTAGATACTTGAAGCGCATTTTGCAGATAATACTCACATACTTTTATATACATATGTGTTGAATACTCTTTTAATGTAGTGGAGTATTACACTGCTTTCTGTATTTTAAATGTTAAATAAAATCCAGTAAGCTACCCCCTCTAGCCTCAGCTGTTTTTTGTGCTAATGAGCCAATGTAGCTCAAAGCTAAGTGTGAAAATCGTAAGAATTACACCTGCTAAACTTTAGCAAGTTAGCAGAAATGGAAAGTAATTACGTACATTTACTCTAACTACTGTACTTAACTACAGTGAGATTTTAAATGCAGGATTTTTACTTGTAATTGAGTATTTTGACATAAATGTATTGGTACTCTGAATAATACTTCTTCCACTACTGCATGTTAGCAGTATCATAGACAGAAAGGTAGCATGCTGAGCTATTGCTAATGAGCATTTAGCTGAATCCCTCACTTGCATAAATCCACAAGAAGAATGTTAGCATTTAGCTAGTGTCTTAGCTACACCCATAATGCACCTGCAGGCATCCATGTGGGTTTGTTTGATTTGGGTACCTTGCTGTCCTGGCCGGGTGGCGGATACTGCAGGGTTTACTCTTTTTATTTTATTTTATTTTACATTCAGTGATGTATTATTGGCGAGGACTTTTGTGCAGTTTGAGTCTGAGAACCTGGGAAGAAAGAGGCTGGGTTGACGGGTTATATTTCCTGTTGGACTTCGCGGTGAGTACAACAACAAACCACTGTACAAACATGGCGCTGTCAACAACCACCCTATTGCATAGTGATTATTGGTGTGTGATGCCCGTAAATGCCATGTTATGCCATGTTATGGGTCTATTTTCTGCTTTAATGCGTGTGTTTGTGGGCTCTACGTAGCTGCTGTTGTGTTAATATTGTTTATACATCTCTGTTTTCTGCCCTGTTGATGTTTTGGCAATGGTACTGTAATAGCTTAAGTACATTTACTCAAGTACAACATTGAGGTAGGCTACTTTTACTTTTCTTCTTGAGTATTGAGTATATTTTCATGTTATCCTACTTTATACTTTTACTCTGAGACATTTTCCAGAAACATTTAGTTTTTACTGCACTACCTTTTTATTTTACAGATTTAGTTATTTGCCACTTTGCACATTTAGATTACAAATATACATTTTTAATCAACTAATTAATTATTATATATTATTATAGGTTAAGCTAACCAGTATTATATAAAGTCATTCAGATAAACCCTACTTTTACCAAGTGATGAAGAGATTATTGCATCAATAATTATAATACAATAATGTATATATGGTGCTTAAATGTGCCATGAGTACTTTTACTTTTGGTACTTTAAGTATATTTTAATGCTCACACTTTTTTTACTTCTACTTGAGGACAATTTTGAATGCAGTACTTCAACTTGTAACAGAGTACTTTTAGTTTTGCTACTTTTATTTAAGTGAATCATCTGAGTACTTCTTCCACCTCTGTGTTTTGGTCTTGTGTTAAAGTGGCAGATTAGTTCTTGGTTTACAGTTTCAATACTTGATCCACCCGCCGTGGTGTCCATGGCACTTTTGGTGTATTGTTGGTTCATTTGTGTGAGTTTTGTCCTCTTAACTGGTAAGACTTTCCTGAAAAAGATGGTTGTTTATTGATCAATATCCAGTTGCAGGCACAGGCTTCCAAGCAGTAAATGTTTTGTTTTTTTACTCAGTTGCATGTTTACCATTCAGTCTAACATTGGCTAACCTAGGCAACCATTTCAGACCATGTAGACTGCCTACTTGTGCAGCAAAACCCTAAAGTGTATTGAATTGAACAAGCTTGCATTTAATGGTTGTGTTTTTTGTTTTTCTTTCAATGTGAATTTTAAATCTTCCAGTGTGTGCAAATGCAACTTGATATAAATTGAAAGTCTCTTTATTAATTGTTCTGTCTTAATTGACACTCATCTAATGTAAAGGCAGATTGAGAGGAAAACAACATTTAAGGTTCCACTTTTTCCCCAAATTGTCCAATTTCCTGCATATATTTCAACTGAAATGTAACACCTATTTCCTTCAGATACTAGAGAAAAAAGGAACCAATAGCCGCTTCAGAGACTAATAACTCTGTTAATCTGCACAGGAGGTGTGAAAGCAGAACGATCTTGATGTGGGCGACTGTGAAGACAATGCAGTGACACATGCATGGCAACAAACTCCAGGATCAGATGGTCAGTGATTCATGATGACAGCAGATGAGAAGCCAGCCTGCTCCGTTATTTAGAGCAGATTGATGCCACACAGTTCACTATTCACTGTTATCTCAGCTCCATTGTTCCTTCAAGTCAACTCCCATTAAGTGCACACTGATGGCCTCATTAAAGGGGCCCTATTATAGTTATGGGGGTTGTCCCTTTCCTGTAGTGTGTCATATAGGTTTTTTGTGCATGTAAATGGTCCCAAATCCCAAAGTTCCCTCCAAAGGGAGTTTCTCTCCCACACACCCTAGGGGCAACTGTGGCTGCGAGGGAGTGCGTTCGTCTTTGGGTTCGATCCCAGCCCGTTCGGTCAACATGTCGATGTATCCTTGGGCAAGATATTTAACTCTGCTGCTCAATTAATCGTATTTTAAACGCAATTACGATTATGGCTTGCAACGATTACGAAAAAAACGTAATCGAAATATAACGATTATTTTTTTTTTTTTTTTGTTTTTCAGTTGAGTTATACTTAAAGTTCAGGGTAATCAACTGTTCAAAACATACTGTTCAAACATTTTTTCTCCAATAAATTGATGTTTTCAAAGTAAATGGATAATCGTTTTTAATAATCGTGATATCAATTATTGACCCAAATAAACGAGATTATGATTTTTGCCATAATCGAGCAGCCCTACCCTGAGATGCTCCCGATGGCTAACAGTGTGTGAACGTGTATCAAATGTAGCTTCCCTAGATCAAGTGCTACTGCTCTGCATGAATGAGGTGTGAATGGGTGAATGACTCAGAGTATATAAAGGGCTTTGAGGGGTCGAAAAGACCTGATGAATCGCTTTATAAGTACAGTCCATTTATCATTTACACCCCATCAATCTGAAAATGAGCATAATAGGGCCCCTTTAACAATATTGATATATTATTGCAATGAATGAGTATCAAACTTGCAGACATAACACATTCTGGAAAAGACAACTTTTTTCGACATATTTAAAGGAACTTCTCCAAAATAAACAAAAAGGTTTATTCAACTTTTATGACAAGTGAGTTAAGAAGAAAAGAACGCCCACACATTGCATATATCATCATTTTAGAAAGAACTTCTTCACAAGACTTCACAACAACGCGATAATAAACTTTGACATTTAAAAAATAGGAATCGGGTCAGGGAAGTGTGTAATACTGTGCGTGTGTGTGTGTGTGTGTGTGTGTGTGTGTGTGTGTGTGTGTGTGTGTGTGTGTGTGTGTGTGGGGACGAGGCATGTTTTTCCTCAAAGACCTTCAGCTATGTGGTCAGGTTCAGATTCAGGAAGTGAAAATTTAGATGGCTGCTGTTTGCAGAGGACACTCAGGGGATTCTGTGTGTGTGTGTGTGTGTGTGTGTGTGTGTGTGTGTGTGTGTGTGTGTGTGTGTGTGTGTGTGTGTGTGTGTGTGTGTGTGTGCGGTCTTATCGTGCTGTCAGGGAGATATGAGGTGTAGGGAGGACGAGTGAGATTAAAAAGGGAAGAGGAAAACGATGAGGAAAAGAAACAGGATATAACGTCTACATTTCAAAATCTGACATTTTTCCATCTGAAAACACACATTTTTGGCTCCAATTAAAAACACTACGTTCGCTGCAGTAAAGTGCTGAGGAGAAACCAATGCGGTCCGTCCACAAAAACTACTTATAAACAAGAGTGGGAGTGCTGAACCCACTTCTAGAAATACACACTGTTTGTATAAAAGCAGGGAATATTACAGAAAGCAGCAGCATATGATAAATGGAATGAGTTTCAATCTAAAAAAGAGGTACAAAATAAAGAAGTTACAATCTGACTGAGAACCAAAATTAGACGCTTAATGTAAATAAATATTGGATTTCATTTCCCATTTGACCGTCAATCGAACATCAGAATGTTTTCAATATGTAAACCAGATAAAAAGTAATTTCCCAAATCTAAAAGTTTCCTTTCTGACTTTTTTATTTGAGTCATTGAAGGTCAAAAACAGTCCTTTTTAAAAGAAACGTTTTATATTTCTTATTTACTTTCACCATATGAGGGCCTTTCCAATACTTTTGAATCACTGACTTCTAAGGGTAAATTAACAATTATCTGATGATTTGCAAGAAAGTTTGGAAGTGATGGCAATTGCACCATCAAACAGAGAACAAAGGCTGAAGGTCATTTAAACCTGTATGCTTTGCTTACTAAAAGTACTTTCAAAAAGTCAAGCCAACGCTATACACACAAATACATACAATCAGATTTGACCTTAGGAAAGAGCACAAATTCACATCCACGTTATTAAAAACAAGTAAAATATGAGTGAAGTATATACAAAGTATTTCAAGAACACACATTGCATTGTTAAAGTCATAAAATCAGTATACTTGTTTGATTAATTAGATTTCATACACAGACGCTGACTTATAGTGTCGAGATCCGACTCGTGCGCTCAGCTTCCCGAGGCACCGTTGATATAAAAGTGGAAGGTGCATGCACAGCTTTACTGTCAGTCTTATAAAAAAAAAAGCACAATTAATTAATTGATACAAAGGCTACGAAGAACATCTTGTTTTTTCTGTTTATATAAAGCGCTCAATCTACAGATCGGCTTCCATCACATCTGTTCTCTCGGCAGACTTGCATTGAGGAATTTCAACCTTCTTCTGGTTTTGGTTTTAATCCAAAAGTCTGCGTTTTGCATTCGAAAAACAGCACAGCTGTCAAGAGAAAAAATGTCCAGAACAACTTCCACAAATGTTTGTCTTTCAAATGACGGTCTTTGGAAAGAGGCAGCGGCGTGATGGGATGCCCCGGACCAAATGTCATCCGTACAAAAACCTCTGAGTTAGTGTGAACAAGATCCAAAGTTCAGTTGACTTTGAAGATGCTGAAGATGTGAGGCGAGGCGGAGGGATTGCCCAGAGAGTGGAGTCTGAATGCAGAGCCTGTGATAGCCTGCAGCTCCGTGCCCTTGTCCAATCGGAGCAGGCCGGACACCTGGCACGGCTTCAGGAAGTGGAAAGGGTGGGGCCCGGCGGAAGGGGTCGTCCCGTAGCCCTCGATGCACTGCAGCTTCTGAGGCCTCTGGCCGCTGGTCACCACGTCCAGCTTCACATACTGAGACTGCTGCTCGTTGAACAGCACCTGAGGAGACAGAGCAGATTACCATCAGCACAACATGTTTCTCCTCAACCGTTCCAACGAAAACGAACCGACTCTACCTCTGGATTTCTGAGGCCCCGCTATCGTTTGGTTAGATTTTCTCCAGACTTCTGTCAACCTGACAAAACCGAGATTACCCGAAACCTGATATCCACCCCTCCAAAAATACATGATAAGTACCAGTACATCATGACTGATGTTTGTACAAAATAATGGCTGTTTTTAATGAAGCCGCTTAAGGGAAGGAAACTTAGAAGTGGGGCTGCATCCAAAGACTGATTCACTTTAGTTGCATGAAGGAAATCTAACCTTTCATTGCCACTTTACCTCCGGAATAAGAAGGTTTTGTCTATTGAGAACATGACTTTCAAAATGAGTCCTTTGTCCCTGGCTGAACCAGGGTGAAGTTGTTGCTAGCTGGTGAAAGTTAGCGCCAAATTCACTCATGTTTCACCTTAGTATATTTGCATTTGTTGTCTGCCATTTCCTAGCCTTCTCTTGGATGCATGCATACAATTGGAGGTTGACACGCGAAAACGTCCCAAAGATAGCAAAGTGAAGGAAAGTAAAATATCCAGGCCCAGGGCAGCGTCTCAAATAGTTTGATACCAGTGCCAAATAGTGCAGTTACCTTCCTCAATACCTACCACATTTTGGTACAAAGACTAACTGTATCCCGTTACATGTTCAATTATCTAATCTCCGCCACAGGGACTACATCAAATCAGCAAGGTTATTGATTGCAAGTGGGCAACATCATCAAAGAATCTCACCGATCCAGCATTAACTACCTGGCATTTGAGTGATGTTGGCCTTTGTTAATAAACTACAACTCCCAGCACAAACTCACCTGGCAGAACAGGAAGTAGACGCCCGCTTTCTCCACAGTGAAGATGCCGAGTTCCTTGTTGTACTTCACCGCTTTAGTCATATTCAAGGTCCTCTCTTCCCAACCCTTTATCACACCACCTTCTCCCACTGACACACACACACACACACACTCGAGGTTAATCATGCCACAGACAAAAATGTCACAGATTATCTTCCATCCGTCACTTTTACGACTTACCTTGCTGAGAGGAGACTTTGGTTACTGGTGGAATGTAACGGAGACATTGAAAGAGAAGGGAAAGTCAATTAAGATTTTACGAGTGCAATCGTATAGGAGTATATGATTGAAACCACTTCTGCAGATGCTACACGAGACGGCTATAAGGGATCTGCCAAGCTACTTACTCTCGAAATGAGACGCCGCTTTCTTTCCATTTCCATTCCTCCCTCGCAGCGCCCCCCCTTCGGAAAAGCAAGCAGAGACAGAATATGAATGGCAGAGAAGGAATACGTCTGTTTTTTTTATTAAACAATCATTCCCATCTGTATCTCTCTAATAACATGTGTTAATTTGCGGCCATTGAGATTAAACCTGGCTCTTTTTTTTTAAACGGGATTAGCAGATGGGCAAAGGATTTCCTGTCACGTGCTTCAAAATATTTCCTCAAACTGTTATTTTCAGTCAGAGGAGTGTGCCTTTTTTGCCTTTAGGGGCTAATCTTAGTGCCAGCTGGTCGCAGTCATCTAGAAAAAAGAAGAAAAAAAAGAGGCGAGCGAGATAGAGTAAGGGAGGATGGAGAGCTGTGTGTGGAGGGGGGGGGGGGCAGACAAACACAAGATAGACAGGGGGAAAGTGAAGGCATTAAATGAAGCATGCGAGAGCTAAAAACGTTTAATAAGAGAATTGAAGTGCTGGAAAAAGAGAGGCAAAAAGGTCTCTAGCTCTTCTGTGAACCGAAAGAGTCGATTAAGAAGTGAAGCAACAGCTACTCAGATAAATACAATAAATAAAACATTAAGAGGCCAAAGCAGCAGAATGCCTGCTCTTGTTACTCACTAACGGTTTATTTTAGCCTAAAGGGAGCGATTTCACACAGATACAACTAACGTAACTAAGAAGTACATTCTTTATGTTTGGAGACGGAGCGGCCAAACACCGGGGCCCCCTCCGATCGCACAGGAATATTAAGTCCCTGCTAAAATAACTCGCAGGTGGGTGACCCTGTAGATTTAGGATTTGCTATGGCCGAGTGTAAAGCCCTCAGGCTGGCCAGAGTTTCCTGACTTAAGCTGTCAGTCATCAGGAGAGAACATAACAGCAGTGTGCGGCTGAAACGCTGCACCGCGCCGGTGGTCAACTTTCCACAAACTGGAAAAAGCTGTTAGCCCTATGAATTACAGGCACAAACGCAGGTATCGGTTAGGAAAGAAAAAAGCCAATATCTGCAGGATATAAATAGATACTTTGGTGAGACACGCAGCTCTCTAAATGAATCCTTTTGTCAGGAGAGGGTTCACTCGCGGACACAATGTGAACCATCAAGCAGAAACCCGTGACGGTGACGCAAGCAGCCGCTATAAATACTGCAATGATAGGTCATCAAATATCACCGCTTTCACAACAAATCATAGCTGTGTTAGTCGTGTGCTCGGAGGGGAACGGAAAAAAAAATCGTATATCATTGGCCAAAAGCGTGCAACAAGGCCTCCGTCCCGCGCCAGCTGGTTTCCTGGGCTCTGAGGCCGCGCCGGTCAGACCTGTAATTTCTGAAATCCAGCTGCCTACTTTATCCTGTGTCAACTTTTAGCAGCGGGTTGCGCCTGTGGCCCGCTAGACCTGACCAAAGTGGCATGTGGTGCCAGCGTTTGTGTCAAATGTCCTTCCCAAAGAAAACAACAAAGCAGAGGCGAGGGCATTGTGTCTGTGGTGATTTGGGGCAAAGCTTCTATATGTTATTGGTGTGGAAGTAAGAGTACCGTTTCTTTTCACTCTGTGCCCGACCAGCAGCTCTCTCTTCTCCAGAATGAGCTGAACAATGGCCTTCCTCTGTGTGTTAACCTGTTGAAAGAGAGAGAAAAAACGCACCATTAACAAATGTCCAATAAGTTTATTATGACTTTTTTCTGGCACCGCTCCAACTCAGCCACAGACGGCCTTTCCCAGCCACATAAACAGGCTCCTCTCTTCCAGTATGCTGCCCCTCGCTTCAGAATAGGTCTACCACTTCCTCAGAGACGCGTTGCGACATCTAATGCATGGTTTTAGTGCTTGGCATTCCTCGCATCTTTACTCCTGTTTCTGAGAAAGAAATCGTTTTTTGTCGAGCTATCAAAGTTTACAAATCTTTGGCAGGGGGCCTGAGTGACCGAAGAAGGCCTTATTAAGCAAGAGGGATAGTGGCTCGGGATGTTTAAATGTACTGCTACTGTGGAAATGGAGGCAGCGACTTGCTCTTCGCTCTCCAGACGTTCACTCACTGGCTCTCATCAGGAGTTGGCCAACGGTCAAATGGACAGAACGGGGGCCCCTTGGGAAAAGCTCCAGCATCAACACACCGTGTGTGTGTGTGTGTGTGTGTGTGTGTGTGTGTGTGTGTGTGTGTGTGTGTGTGTGTGTGTGTGTGTGTGTGTGTGTGTGTGTGTGTGTGTGTGTGTGTGTGTGTGTGTGTGTGTGTGTGTGTGTGTGTGTGTGTGTGTGTGTGTGTGTCAACATCACACACAGCTGACCTGTCCTCCTGATATCAAATCCAGTGCAACTACGTTTTGTAAATACTGTGAACTTGAAACCAGAAGAGTTTCCATCAGCTCCTTTTTGAAGAAATTATTTGTGATGCAACCTCGTTTAGAATTTGCTGCAAGTGCAAGAAGTCTTAACACTGCACTATGCATGAGATTGCACAGAGTTCAGCACTGCTTTAAATCCTAACCTGTGAATAAGAAAGCTTTGCATGTTGCAAATGCTTTTTTACACTTGCCTCACTTTATCACCGAGCCTCTGCGCAGTCAGTACAAAGTGCTAACAAAGCCAAATAGTTGAGGCTTTCCAGTGAATTGAGATAAAACTGGAGCACAACTGGCACCAGAGTAATTAAACATGGCGGGGGCAGCAGCAGAGGGGGGTGGACACAGAAATAAGCAGTAACTCCCCACAACCCTGACTGCACTTATTGGTAAGCAATAAAAGTGCCAAGTAGAGAAATGGTGCAATAGAATAGAGTACGTGCAAGGGGGGGAGAGAGGAGGAGGAGGGGGTGAAGTGTGGACTTGCATTTTTCCATACACCCCCCGCGAACATTCCCGTAACCGCAGCCACACACAAAAAGTTACATAACTAAACACTTAAAGCTCTGAAGTGGTCGCGGGGTTGTAAATATTAGTCTCGGTGCGAGTATGCATGCTATGCGTAAGAATGCAAAAATACAAACCTGCTCTATTCGGTCCTGCAGGATCTTGAAGGACTGAGACAGGTCCCGCGTTTGTCTCCAAGTCCACGCCGTGAACAGCGCGCTGCAGGCGGCCAGGGACAGAGCCACCAGGGCCAGAGAAGCCCAGAAGACCCGCAGCTTGCGCACTCTCCTCCTCTGCAGAATGCGATGCATGTTGGGTGCAGATCAGACTGCTACTCACCGCCGAACCCCCACTGCCACTTCATTCCAGCAGAGCATGAAGTCCCTCCAAAGTGTCTAAATGTCCATTATAGGCTGAGAAACAAGTGGACAGAGTATGCTTTTCACGCGTCGATCTTTCCTGTTTATCTCAGGATTGTGTCTAATAGATGAGGGTTCCCGATCTTTTCATCCACATCCTCCAACTGCGTCCAATCGCAAGAAAAGTGCAAGCTGCGCACATGAACTGTTGCATCCTTCTGCCTGCGATTCGTTGACTCAGCTCTCTTGTCTTCCCTTTAAACACCGCGCTGGGGGGTCACTATTAAGGCAGACAGACTGAGCACACACATGAGATCCAACACACACGCGCACACACACACACACCCGGAGACTTGGAGTAAACTTTCCTCGGTGCTTTGATGTTGTGACAGTCGCGTGCGTCCGCAGTAAAACCTAACGATGTGAGCGCAGGAAAAAACAAACGAGGCGCACCGGGGCTTCCTCCGCTTCTGCACACACTTTCATCAACTTGCATGCCCTGTAAATATGTGCCAGTCACGCGTGCAGTACTTCCGGTTGTAACCGCACGAGGGCGGTAGTGCATCGTTAATAACCGGTGGGGATGATCAAGCAAACTACTGACATGTAAAAGATTCCACACTATGTTATTTAATCTATGTATTGCACAATTATCATTGGTATTTTTTAATACAATATTGTTGTTTTACTGTATTTTTACTATGTGTATTTTACATACAATTAATATTTACTTACAATACAAAACATGGCCATCAAATAAAATATGTAGTAGGCTATATAAGGTCCTTGGAATTAAGCCTTTATTTACTAGCTACCACATCAAAGTGATGACAGTATAAGTTATTAATAATAATGAGGCAGTTATATAAAATATTATCCTGAAATTGGCCATTCTGGGAGGCTTTTAGTTACAGTACAATTTGTAATTCAGGACTTTTATCTGTGACATAGGATGTCTACACTATGGTAATATTATTTTTACTTACTTAATTTTACCACTTATAGAAACCTATAAACTGAGCTTCTTTAGGACTAAAATGATATCTTAATTATAATTGTTTTAACAAAAGGGACAGATGGTGTTAGTAGGAATGAAATGGCACTCTGCCTAAAGTTTCCCTTTTTAATAAATAAATGTTCCTTCTTTTAAGCTTATACCATATAAGACTATATATTTCAAGTAGTTATTTTTCCAAATAATTTTTTTAAATGTATGTTTAGGTATTCTATATTTTGATATTTTTTTTATAAATATGTAATTAAATCCTTAAGCACATGTATAGGAGAAACCATGGCATTGCACCTTAATATTACATCTTTATTATTCAAACATTTCAGACACATTACAACTTTTTCTCTGCTGGAAAAAAAATGTATTACTGCACTTAGGTTCTTTGTGACAACTTAACAGCACTTCAATTGTGCAACTGTGCTCAAAACATCAACATTGTGCACCGTCTCGAACAACCAAATACCCTGCACATTAAAATCGGAATAAACCCCCTGACATTTAGTCATGTTTTTTAGCCCAAGTTGCTCTTCAATGCGTGTTTTATTGCAAAGGTTTCTCACGAGAAATTTGTGAAACTCTTAGGAATCCATGTTGGGAACAAATCCTCAAGTTGTATAATTTAAGGCTCTGTGTCTGGTTTCTGATGGGAAGCCGCCGACAGGAACATTTATAAATATCTCTTCATGTTCCCTCGGAGTCTATTGATTTTTTGAGGTATGCACTCTCGATAGAACAATGACGGCACTTAAAATGCAGTCATGAGAGGAACGTATTTTCCAACCCAATGTCCCAAATCTGAAAAAAACTGTGCATTCTTCACTCAATTATTTTGTAAACAAAGTATGAAATGAAATGCAAATTGCAAAACCCACTAAGCAGGGTCAGTGGTTCTAACTTGTTTAGATAGAGCAAAAACAAACTAAATTTAACCCACAACTCAGACTGTTTTCATTATACTGCTGGAAATGATACAGAAGGCCGTCTTTAAAAAACAGAACAGAGACTGGATATGAAACAGAAGTGCAAACCACAATAATGCCCTTTTTCCTTTTAGCATGACGGCTTCAAAGACAGGGACTGAGCCATCCAAGACTTTTATTTTTCAAATTCCACCAGATGGCTTTTTCTTTTGCCTGATTTCGAAGCTCATTTCTTTGAAAGGAGCCCAAAGAGTTGGTTGTTTGGCTGCATGGAAGAAGGTTTAACTGACTCATTTACTCCACCATTTCATCCCTTAGTACATACATAGCAAAAAAGGAAGGAAGAAGAAAGTGCAGGATTGTGCTTCACAACAGCTTTACAGCACTCTTCATCTGGAAGACAACAGGAGTGGTGACTAGTTCTCGTAGATTATTATACATTTAAAGGGACTCGTTTCTAACAGTCTTACAGTGACACACATACAGCACATCTTGGCTTTTTAATGCATAAACTGTTTTTGGGATTATTGTGCAAAAACAAGGATTTCATTTCTAGAGTAATTATTTGTAAAGGTGCTCTGGGTCATAACATATGACAAGGGAAAACCACAAAACACATACTTCATTTATTAGTTATGTACTGTTTAAATGTATTGCATAGGCCCCGTTCCAATACTTCCAACTAATAAGTAAATTGATCGGTTGCTAAACCCCTTTAAACAGAACAAGGCATGGCCGGTAGATGTTTATGTATGTGCAGTGCGAAGCAAGAGCATTACCTCGTACGTTAAGAGTTTGGAAGGTTGTGTCTTATTTAGTTTTTATCCTAAATGCGGAAACACCAATGTTAGCTTTAATTGTTAGCATGCCTGGCTAACTAGCACCAGTAGTAACTGAGCATTACATCTAAAGCTCACGTGCATTTCCATCTAACTGCGGGATTACAAGTTAAGCATGGTGTGGTAGCCATATCTGATATGGTTTATGCTAACGTTAGCGCTCCTGTCCTGTTCCTTATTGGATTTGGGAACGTTTTAATTCCAGAAAATCTAGTGAACTGATGCAGACAGTTTTCAGCCAGTTTAGTACAAGCTAATAAGTTGATGCTAACTACAGCTAACATAAAGCTAGTTGTTATTACACAGTAGTTGTTGTGATTTGAGAAGCCAATAACATTGACAATCATCTGCTTTAAGTGTGTGAATCCTGCTTTTGATTCCCGCTATGTGAAATAGTTGTTTAAAATGTTGAAATCCGCCATTTATATTATTGTGCTAACATTAAAAACGTTATAGGCTTAGTAACAGTAACAAAGGGGGGCTTATCAAACAGTCAATATTTTTAAATTATCTGCTTTTTGATTGTCATTGTCGAGTTTTGGAACAGGGCCGCTGAGTGGAGCTCTATCCCTGCACTGTGTGACCTCACGGCTGCAAAGGTCAACCTGTCCGGCGTTGGGTTAGGGCTGGGCCAGGTGCTCCAGCGCCTCGCCCTCGCAGCGCATACAGTGGTAGCCCATGTCAGCCGTGACGTCGAAGCTGCCCTGGCTGAGGTAAAAGTCCATAGATGGCTTGTTCCAGTCCAGGACGGTGAAGTTGAGCTGGTTGCAGCCGGCAGCTAGGCCCAGCTAAAGGAGCATAGACATGAGTACGGCTGTGCTGACATTAGGTATTTGAAAGTATCTAAACTGCAAGAGAAAGGGCCCAAGGTCCACCCTCCATAGAACATATATTTACTGTCAGTGCCAAACTTTGGGCGAATGTTTTACTCACCTGAGCTACTTTGCTCATTAGTGCTTTACCAATGCTTTTTCCTGAAAGAAAGATACCATGAATTACTTTTACCATGTCACTCTGCTTACTGTATAACAATAATGATATGACTATTTTTAAGACAATTTGCTTTACCTCTGAACTCAGGCATCACGTACAAGTCCTCCATATAAACAGCTCTGCCTGACCATGAGCTGTAGGAGTAGAAGTAGAGTGCATATCCGATTTTTGTATGGCCTAAAAGAAGAAGACAAAAGTCAGCACACCAGGAACTCCATAGTATACATCTCTCTTATAAGACAAAATCATTTATATTTCCATATAACTTTGCATACCTTAGGCATCCCATATCAAAAAAACATTGTACCACAATTTGACAGAATTGGGACTTTAAAAAAACACGTTAACGTGGACTGTCAGGTTCTGGCAGCCTGTCTTGTTCACAAGCATTGTACAATTATTGTTCAGTGTTTCCCCTAGCATTGTCTTGGAGGGGCGCTGCGCCCCGCCAACGGAGCCCCACCAACGGAGCCCCACCAACGGAGCCCCACCAACGGAGCCCCCCCCAACGGAGCCCCGCGCCCCCCCCCCACCCTGAAATTCAAGGTGTTTAAAAAAATAAATAATTATATATATTTTTTATATTATTATTATATAATATATAGCACCAAATTGCAAATAATCTATATCTACTGTCACTTTTCACATTAAACATGTGCTCTTTTATTAAATAAACTAAACGCTTTCATTTTAAGTTGTGAGTTTAGTGTTTTTGACCCTAAGAAACACTGATGCATTAATCAATAACAATAATCCACAGCTCCTCTCTCTGCTCCTGAGGATTTAAAAAATATATATACCCCCCCCCCGCTCAGGCAGCACCCCCCATAGCAGTAAACCTAGGGGAAACACTGTTGTTTATCTTGCTGCTAATCGGCTAGATTTCAACATGGCACTCACAAGTTAGCACATGTTAATGTTCTCATTACTGTGTTCTGAGGAAAAGCAGTTTGTTAACCTTATTATATAAGCAGTGTGTAAGGAAACAGGCCTCATCTGCAGGCTGGTGGTCATTAAGAAACACAGCTAATGAATACAGATTGACGGACTCAGTAACTGGGGGGCAACAAGTGTTAAATGCAGCATCTCTATAGCACGTGTTTCTCACTTATTTAAGAAACATTACACCTGTTATTTTCCTGCTATCACATTGTAGCTGTGGGCACTAATATTCATCAAAGGTGCATTAAGCTGCCCTTCTTTTTTATAGTAATAGTTGATAAATGACATTAGTTTTCACCTGACCGCGGTTAATTTGAGCTCCTCGGGCGTTTTAGTGTCTGTCGGTTCATTGTTTTGGTTCGAACACACCCAGCGTTACTGCTTTGGTTCACTCGCCAAACTGCGATTTATAAAATGTCTTACTAAATATTGGATTCACTAGTTTGTCGGAAACACAACTTCAATGGAAAGAGATCTAGATTCAACAATAGCTTTGTGAGACCACTCTGAGATTACCAATTGAAATGGACTTTTGGACTCGCAGTAATAATTAGCTTCTAAACAGTTGCTCTAGAAGCTGATAGAGCACCTCGGAGACCTTTGTATTGTCACAATAATGTCACTTTTGGTTGAATAGTTTCTTTATAAGTGCATTGGAATTGTCTCTCCTCTTTATTTTACAACACAAAACTACTCAAAAAGCAAACAAGCATATACAACAATTTGTTGTTTCTTGCTACAGTCCACACTTATAATCCTATTTGGCTAGATGTACGGTACATAT